CAAAAACAAACACAAACCCAAAAGGACATTACTCTGTACACACTTTACCACTGTGAATGGCAGCTCCCCCCTTTCTACACCACAAACATCTTCTCAGGCATTACAGCTACCTTTCTATAAATCTTACACACACACACACACGCATACGCACAAGTACTCACAATAGCCACATTGTCACACTGGTCATGCATACAGCTCAGTCGTACCAGAGGTCCGCACGGCATGACAGATCACATCACTGCATTCACTTTTTTTAATGGCCCAGCAGGACACAAGAGGGCAGGAGGAGGACGCTGAGAAACAGGACGTGGAAAATAAAAAGAGTGCACACATCATTTACCTTGCATCATGATCGCAGATTTTCATCCTACGCTGCCCTCTGGATTGCAGGCGGGCAGAAATGGAGGAATCCGACCGGTCAAAAGATGCCTGGGCAGGGCATAGCTAATTCTGCACAGCTCCCCAGCGAAGCACGATGTTGATTTCCTCCACCCCCGAGGGCCCGACTCCCAGACACCCGCACGGGGAGGCGGGGTGGGAGCTGCAAGGCAGCAGAAGCGGTGAAGGACACGGGGAGAAGAGACACCCGAGGAATGCGCTGCAAATCGGGAGAGGAATAGTGGTCCTCTCTGTGTGCGTTAGGCCACAGACGGCCGAGCGGCACTGACACACGCCATCGCTGAGAGGGGGGATGCTGAGGAAAGGCAGAGGGAAAAAAAAAAAAACAGAGCGCTACAGAGAGATAGAGGGGCAGAGAGAGGCAGAGAAAGACCAGGGGAGAGAGGGGCGGAGGGAGGGAGTGGGAGGCTTGCTGATGTCACATCTGCACTAAACCAATCCCTGAAACCACGGTCACATGGCTGCTGTCCCCTGATGCCTAAGCACCTCTTGGCTTGCCTTGAGCAGGCACACTACATACTATGCAAGGTCCTATAAAATAAAATACACTATTTTCTTTCATTTTGAATTAATTCAAATATTGCTGTTGCTTTGAAAATAAATCTATTGTATTTGGGTTTTGTTTTATGATTTATGATGATTAAATTCATTAAAATTTTCTGAACTGCAAAAAGGTCGCCCATCCGTTTTCTTTGCAGACATGCTGGGGCGAGAGGCGGGATACACCTCGCCATCAACACAGGGAGACAGGCAACCTTTCATGCTTACAGTCACACCTAAGGCCAGTTCAGAATCACCAGTTATTACCAGTTAACCTAACATGCATGTCTTTGGACTGTGGGAGGAAGCTGGAGTACCCACAGAGGTACAGGTAGAACTACAAACAGAAGGATCCCCCCACAGGCCGGTGGGTTCAAACACAGGACTCGCTTGCTGTGAGTTTAAAGCTCTATGTTGTCCTTTTTCATGCAAATATTCTACAGCTAAAAGTGGACCAGTGCCTATACTGGGTCACTTCACTGTGCTGGTGGCTGATCATGAAACCTAACCTTGAAACTTTCCTCATATAGAGTGTTCTGCTAATACAAAAATATATTTAATTCATTCTTCAGGTGGGGCTGTTGCTGTTTTTAGACATCAATATTTGAGCATGTGCATAAATAATGTGGTACAACTCTGCATTTATCCCTTTACGGCTTTTCGTGACTGTATTTGTGTGTTTCTTCTTTGAAAACAGAAACAAAGAAGCTTTTACATTCAGCCTTTTCTCCCGTACTGTGTAGGAAAACAAGAAGCAATCCATAAAACCTGCATTTGTTTATTGCTTTATTTTTATTTTGTCTGTCGAGATGCTAATAACTTCCATTCATTAGGAAGTTAGGAAGTATCAGACAACAGTTGTGCAGCTTCTACAAATATTAATTTACCACTAAACACATTTAGTGGCTTGTAGACCATTGAATGGAATGGGAAGAACACAGTAATGGAAAGAGTCATCCAAAGGGTAGCCCTTCAGGAAAAAGAAGCTGAACAAGAATTCCCAGTGGAATCTGACTGGAAAATATCAGTAATACAAGTCCAAATCAGAACCAGTGAGCCACTTAAGCTTTAGCAGGTAGATTGGAATAATGGCTTTGATGCTGTGGAGGGCTGCAATCAGATCTAACAACGAGAGGATGACAAGAGGAGGTCATTTCTTCAATTTCAGTCACATAGGTTTTGATTTGTGGGGGGAATGCTGAAGACACACTTTTTGGGAGGTTTTTTTGGTTCAAAGGTTTTTTTGCTAGTTCTCTGGAAAGAAAAGAAGAGCAATATACTGACTTCACAAAGCTGCAAGATTATTTCTATTGCTAAAAATGTGTCCCACTTGAGGACAGCAGAAAATCTACCACCGCAGAGTACACCCTGTCAGCTATAATCATAAGACGTGCTCACTGGGAGGAGGGACCCCAAATGTTAGCCTGGAAGAAAGAAAGAGCGGGAAGGACAAAGGACAAACTATGACTGTGTGCGCCTGTTAGACCAATTGCTTTAGTCAAAGCAGTGGTTTGATTATTCATCTGCTTTAATGGCAGCGTGCTGGACATTTGGAGCAGAGTGACTCACCCTCACCGATACAGCAAGGACAGATGGGTCTGTGGGTGTATGCGTGTGTTTGATTGTTTGGGGGGAGACCCCACTGTGGAGGTCACATAATTTTAAAACAGTAGAAAATTCAAACGTGTGTTCTTTCCCTCAGCTGTTTTGTTCTATGCTAAGTGTATACTCAGAGTGTAATCAGATGCAGACACAACTAAATGTTAGAGTCAGTGTCCTTTATGGCAGCCAAATGAAAAACAAGAAACGTTCCAAACCTTGGAACCTAAAATATTCAGAGAACCAGAAGCTGAACACGACGCTTGTAAATCGGAATAAGTTTCCCCGGCTTCTGCCACTGAAGTTTATTTGTAGCTGTTTATTTGTATCCTAGAGTAACCGTTAATGAGCTTAAACGAGCTGGCACAACACACCTCAAGCTGCACCCGTGTGCTTCCCTCAATCAGCCTCTTATGTAAGATGCCATCCAGGGTTCAGAGGTCATGGCAAGTGGGATTAGCAAAGGAGAGCCAGACGGAGAAGAGCACAAGGAGAATGAGGTGTGAGTTGTTCTGTTAGCCTGGCATTACTGCTATTGTTGGGCTCTGGGTGTCAGAGAGACAGGAGTGAAAGAAAGCTGTGAACAGATCACAAATATTAGTGAGACAAAAACAAGAAACAGCTATTTAGGCAAACATGTGTCTACAGACGCAGATGTGTGAGGCTGTAGTGATGCTGTCCCACACAGTGTACAAATAGGTTAGACTGAATTTTAATGACGGCCTGCACAGAGATCTAACTGCAGGAAACTGCAACAGGACTAAATCCTTTCGCTCTTAGTGACTCAATACTGCCACCTGCTGAATAAAGTTACTCAAGCCTTACAGAAGCTACACTCAGAGGCCACTTTATTAGGTACACCTGTGCAAACTATTGCTGTTTAGTATTTGATTTAAATATATTCAGTTTTATTTATATATAGCACCAATACACAACAACAGTGGCCCCCAAGTTGCTTTATGTTGTATGGTCAAGACTCTACAATATTAGAGAGAAAACCCCAAGAAAGGTAGACTGAGGCAGGGGCAGCCATCTGCTGTGAGTAACTGGGGGCTGAGGGGAGACAGGAGAGAAAAGAGAAGACATTACTTTGGTAATTAAGTGGTAATAACGTACTATTTCCACATTATTACCTTCTTGTTTCAACCTTATGTCCCCACTATTACCACATCTTGTCCAGCTAAGCTATGACTTTTTAATTAACTAATTTTTTTTATTTTTTTTTTAGCTCTGATGAACTTTACACTGCACCTTCACTTTAATGTATTATCATAATATGCCACAAAACAGTCTTTCCATTGCTCCATTCAACCTTTAAGTGTGAGTTTCAGAACTGGTTGAGACAGAGACATTTTAAAAGCTGCGAGCAATATATTTAAGTCATAGATATGTCAGCAGAATTGCTTTCACACTGGTTCTCTAACTTTCTGAAGCTAACAGTCCAAACATTCACGAACACCTCACACGCTGATTGGCCAGCTGTGCAGAAAGTAATTAAACTATGAATTTCTCTCTTTTGTGTTGGCTACTGTCTGATATTACGCAACTATTAATGCCACTTTTCATGTGTCAAAAGCACTGTCACTTCCTGCGTAATGTAATTGCTGTTATTTAAATGATATCACATCTCTGTCATTCCCTCCAAAGAGCTATTATTTTATTCCGCCTATGAAAAGAGGCATAGAGGGCATGTTTCTGCTGCAGGGCAAAAGTGTACTTTTCTAGTTTCTTCAATTCTTTTATCATCTGATAGATACATGGGTTTAAAAGTGAGACATAAAAAAATAATATTTGATGTTTAAGCATTCATTCAGTCATCACATTTACACAGACTGTACAAAACAGTTCATATAAGATCCATGTTACAAATAATGACTGAACAGGCTCACGTGCTTAAATTAATGCTCGGCCTATATTCTATCATCAAAAGTACCGCAGCTTCCTTAGAAAGACTAGAACGACATAACATCAACAAACAGAACAGCAACAATACTCTCACATATGACGCTCAAAAATATATTTGTAGAACATTTGTTTGCAGACTGCAAATGAACTGCACATTTTTATGCACATATCAGCATCAACAACAGAAATACATCTTCATTTAATCTCTTTCTTTGCTTTTTTTTTTTTTTTTACAGTCAACTTACAAAAATCTGACAAAACATATTTACTCTCCCGTAGTCAGAAAAACCTTTGTACGCAGTTTGGGAGTAACTTTGATTTTGCTTTAAACATTATTTGCATTACTTTCAAAAACAACAAATCATTAAAATTAGTTATATGGGACCTCAGAAACAGCGGCTCAGAGTGATGGTAATAATCAGCCTTGTTAATGAGTCATATTTTAAAAGATCCCCACAGTTCCAACAGTAAGGAAAATGAGGACGCATAAGTGATCAGTAAATTATATGTAGGGCACTGCAATCTAATACATTCTTCATTTTATGACGAACTCCTATGACTTTGATATTTTAGCTATAATATAATGTTGTTTACATGTTCATTTATAATCAGTCACAGCATCTAAATATTTGACATCATAGACTGCTTAAAAAATGCTTTTAATATGCACCCACCTCGGCCCATTAACTCTAAAAAACTGACTGTGGAAGTGCTAGAAAAAAAACATTAATAGATGGCAAATGAGGCCTGGCCACGGTGGCTTTTGTCTGATATTTATTAAATACTTTCTTATGCAGATTAGTTATTTTTTATTTATTTATATATAAACCAGAAAACAGCTTCTTTTCGATTCTCCCCCATTTTCCACACTAGTCTTCTTTTTATTTTTACAAAAAAACAAGAAAAAAGTGAAACAAACAAACATCAAAGCAAACATATCGCCATAAAAGAACCACCAGTTGTCTGGAGAAACTAGACATCATGTGAAACGAGTGGCTGCAAAATCAAAGACCTCCAAACAAAAAATAAACTGCTACATAAATCGCTCTGTGCTTCTTCCCCTCCAGCACCTGTTTTTATGAAGCCGATAACAAAGAGACTTTGAGTGTTCGTGGGAGCTTTGCAGTGTGTCCTGGTCGTCTCTTAAAGTCACAGACTCGTGGATGTCAGCTGAGCCTGTGGGAAAAACAAAAGAAGTACTGCAACTGCACGCTTTCTCTTGTGACCCGAATGCTACAAAATGCGATCAACACGCAAAATCAAGCTGTAATTTTTTACTGTCCTTGTGTGAAAATGCAGACGTTTTAGCAGGGAATGTCACAGTAT